AGAAGTCAAAATCAGCCTTTTTTTTTTTTTTGTGAGTGTAAAGGTTTTAGTTTAAATATTCAAGTCTGGGAAGCATTGTCCCTCCCCATTAAATATTCAAGTCTGGGAAGCATTGTACCTCCCTGCAGCGAGGCACCAGGAGGTATTTGTGTGTCTCACAAAGCATGACCTCCTGCAGCTCTGTGTGTAATTCCAGGTTGCCAAAGCCTCCCTGGGAATAGTCAGTGATCAAGTTGACAGAAGCCTTTAGTGGGGGATAGGTTACCTGGCAAAGCAGGTGTTGAGTGAGGAGAGCTTTTATTAAGGTGGAACAAAACATGGTTCTCTGCTGGTGAGAACAGTTTCTTGTGGCACTGAGTTCATGTTCTGGGTTTGTATGTGCTAAGCTGTAGGCAGAATGATGTGCCAGGAGGTGATGCCCTTTGCTGCCTCCATGGCTGAAGGGTGCAGGGGTTGGGGGTTCTTTGCCAGTGGCAGCAGCTGTCATCTGGTCGTTCAGGAACTCAGCTCATCTTGATCTGAATTGGGTGTTTTTCTGTGAGTCTTCTGAGTCTTTTTATTCATCTCTGGAGCACTCACATCTGTGGTGGCTGTGCTGGTTTGTTACCTTGTAATTACAAGTGTCAGTGTAGTGGATGAAAATGCTGGTTATCAGCTAAAACTGTGTGAGTGGCACAGCAGTGTGAAACTGGGCCTGTAATTTCCTGGCCTCTGTGTGTGTTCTGTTTGCCCTTCACCCACCTTCCTTTGCCAGTTGACCTCTCTGTTTAACCCTGTCAAAGGAAGATACACTAGATGTGGTGGAAATGCTATAATAACCAAGTGAAACATTTTTTACCTTCGAACAAACAAAGACAAAAACCACGCCAAACAAAACAAGGTATTAACATTTTCTCAAACACTTCTTTTGTCATTGACAATATTTACCAAACCTTCAGTTGCTGAAATAACCATCATAGAATAGTTGCAAGATGCAGCTCTGAAAATGCAAAAGGATTTTATGTTTGGGTAGACCTAACTGCAGTATTTGCCATCAAGTGCATCAGAACTTCATTTACTTGTCTCAAGGTTAGTGAAGAGAATTAAAAGCACCCAGGATGAGCTGAAGTAAACATCTACCTGCCATGTGATCTGGCATGAGAACTGCTTTATTGTATATTACTTGGAAACAGAAACCACTGTGTCATGTGACTCAGTTGTTCAGAGAGCTCAAGTAGGGAAGTCCAAGATGCTGAGAGTTTTAGCTCTGTGTGCTGGGGCAGTGGATCAGGCTAAACCACATGATACAGAACTTGGTGACGTGGTGAGTTTTGGCCTTTCACACCAGACAAGTCGCTGAAGTCAAATTAAGGTCACTGTGCTCAGCCTTTAACCATGCTGTGATAGGAAGCTTCAGGCAGGGTATTTACTGTGTTCTGACTGGGCTGGAGTCAGTTGATCTGGAGCTTTACACGGATGAGGCCGAGGGAGTGACGAAGCATTTTCATGCCTGTGAGCTTGGGCACACCTTGCACTGGGGTTGGTAACAGCTGTATCAGTGTGGCCCTGTGAGTCCAAGGGTGAACTGAGCCATTCCTAAGGATTCTGTCCTGGTAGTGTTTTGTGTGGAGCTGGGAATAATCCATTCCTGGTGTGTAGGTACAAATTGCCCTGTGCTACAGGATCAAAATTCCCTGCTTAGGAAATATGTCCTGATGGGATGTGGGAATCAATTAAGAGAAGTAATGAGGTTTTCTAGCCCAGTAAATGAGCTTCTCCTTAAAATAATACATTGTGTGTACCTATATCACAGTCATTGCCCACCCAAAGTGAGCTCTCAAGTTGTTAAACCTCTTGCTTTTACTTTTCACTCCTCTCCAGAACTCTTCCCTGCTTAAAGTATGTTGCTGATGTTGCTTCCTCAACTTCAGTATGACAGGACTTCGAAGTGTGCTGGAAAAAGTCCATGGGGCTCTAACAGACCCTTTGGGACACTTGTGTTCAGAGATGCTCCTGCCATCTAATACTTGCCCAGGGCTCTGCACAGATCATTCCCTCATGTTGGTAATTCACTCCAGGTTTCCTTGCTGCTGCGCTATTGGAACTTCTGGAGATGTCTCTGGGACACCAGCATTTATATATCCTAATATCCACGTTTTCCTCGGAGCCAAGCTACTAATGTTCCTTTCCTCAGTGCTGCTCCTGAACTTTGAGTGACTGAGGTAGCCTTACTTCTTAATCCCATTTTCCCTGGAAATGTTCCAAGGGAAATGAAAACTTACTTGGAGTGTTAACAAAGTAAATAAACCCCAAGTTGCTGCAATACCCTGGAAGAAGTTTCAGTTGCCAGTAGTGAAATGAATAGTTGCAGCAGTGTTCTGTGAGGAATTTCAGGCAGGTGAGCATGAAAGCGAAAGGCTAAGAGGTTCTGTGTTATTTCTTTGTCTTGCAGAGCTGAATGTGCTTCCCACAATGGTCAGGAGATGAAAATGTTCTGGTGCATGTGTAGAAGTAGGCCAAATGGAGGTTGTGCAATCAACCTGAATTGCTGCACTTACTCAGCACACAGATCCCTGTAGAGGGACCCGAGGCTTTTGGCAATGTACCTCCCAGGATGGGCTTCCTTTGCGTCAGCTTTGCTCTGTCTGTGATGCTCTGACTAGATGTTCTTGGCTCAGCTGAAGGCTGATCTTTGATCCTTTTCCCTTACACTGCATCTCTTGGGCACTGAACCATTACTGTACTCACAATTGCCCTCAGCATCTGACTTGGATTTCCATTTCTTGAAGAGAACAATTTATCTAGATCTTGATTTGCTCCTTAGAATGCTTCAATTCACCTCATTACTCTGGACTTTGTCACAACAAACCTAAATGTCATAGGACAGAGTAACTAGAGAGGTCATTTGGTCCAGTTCTCGTTATTTCAGATGACCATAATGTTTCATTTTCGCCTGTGTCCCATGGAGGTGTTTGTAGAGCATTGTCAGAACTACTCAGCTCTTTACATTGGAGGGTTTGAGAGGAACCAAGAAGTAGATTTACGTAGACAAAAATTCTTCAGCTGAAACTGGCGATTAAGAACTTACCTTGGCATCATCTCATTTTGGCTCTCCATTCCTGCCTTCTTGGTTGCTCTTGCAGTTTAAAGGAGCTCAGCCAAGGAATTATCACTCCTTAAAAGGGCCTAGCCAGGCAGGTGGTCTTAAAATACATATGTTTCATGGCTCAGAGTCAGGTTGCAGTGTGCCTATTAACCTCTTTTATATTAGAATTATCAACTTTTATATGAGAACTCTATCAAACCAAGCCATCAGCATGTTTTCCTAGCTGAGTCACTTGGAGTTTGGGGTGTTTATCTGCACTGTAGTACAGTCAATCAATTTTTGGAAAGCAAAACCTGGTAAGTAAGACTTAGTCTTAGTATGATCATTAGTACATTGGAGAAAAACTGTTAGTATTTCATTTGAATGAATCCTTTCAAATGTGTATCTTCTGCATCCCATTTTGATGTAGGGAAGGGATAAAGGTCCTGATAACTTTTATTAAGTCTCTGACAATGCAGAGTGAAGTGCATGGATCCTGCTTGAATCCTGACAGGGAAGGTACAGGCCTGTAGTTCCTGAAACAAATCCAAATATAGAATCTTTTCTCTGTGGCTTTGTAAACATTTTCCTTTACTACCCCAGCTAAGCTTGGAATCCTGAGACTACCAAGGAATTTGTTGACTTTATCAGTGGTAACTATTTTCCAGACAACTATGCGTTAGTCTACTGGAGTCATTGCCTAAAGTGGAAATACAATGTCTATACAGATATTTAAGCCTCAGTTACTACTTTGAGCTGAATCTTGATTTATTTTTTTTATCTGCCTGGTCTTGTTATGAGGTTTATTTTTGGTGTATCTTGTCTGTGCCACTGTTGATGGAAACTTTGACTCCTGCAGGAGAGAGCTGGGCAGGCACTAGGACTTTGTCCTAAGGACTAGGTGCCTGGCAAAGGCAGAACTGCAGCACTGTGATCAATAAGGTGTCAAACCTCTGCAGGACACAGTGGTGCTCAGCACAGCTTCACAGTGTCTCACACAGAGCTGTAGGTATCTGGGATGTGCAGGACTGCAGAAAAGAACAGTCAGGTTCTGTCTTTCAGTGCCTGTTCAAAGTATGGAAATCCAGAGCTGAGATGTGAAGGGTGTGACTCCAGGTCCTCCCAGGCAGCTGAGGTGGTAAGATTCTATTCCCTGGCTGTAGATACCATAAAGCAATGCTGTGATGGAAATGCCAGGCATGGATTGAAAGGGAAAGTATGCATGGAAGGACTTGTGCTTGTCATCTAAGCATTGGTAACCCTTATTTTTTGCCCAAAATTGATACATCAGGTACTTAAAGGTGAATATCACAGTCTGACTGCAATTGTTTTGTTACCTTTGTGTTTCTGCTTTTATGACACTTAGGTGATTCTCCCTCTGTGATCTTGAAAACTTGATAAAGAGCCTTTATATTCTACTTAATTGCACAGCAGAACTTGATTGCCATTTATTAGGTTTGGGAACAAGTTAAGAGGTGATGTATGAGTTAACTGGTCTGTCGTAGAGGAAGTCAAAGTCTGAAGCATGTCAAGATGGTTTTGTGAAGTGAAATGGTGGAAACAGTGAGTGGGTGTATGGTGTCCTGCAGATGAGTTTCAGTCCAGGTGTTGTACACACACCACAGTACTGGCACATATTGGCTGCTTTCTGGTTGTGTTTTGGTGGTGGTGGTTGCTATTTCAGTTGCTGCTGAAGTGTAGTAATGTTTTTTCTTCAAGGAGAGGTAAATGTACACATACACATTTGCCAACTTGTGTCTGGTTTGTGCTCAGACTTTGGTTTCCAGGAAAAATAAGACACTATTAGCCTCAGTTTCTCGTTAGCTTTCAATACTGAACATCAGTCAATGTGCCCTTGCAGCCAAGAGGGTTGATACCATCCTGGACTGCACTAGGATCCCTGCTAATTCTGGGTGATTTTTTTTGTTGCAGGTGGTATGGTCAAGAAAAGGACTACAATGTTCTAGTCATGGATCTTCTTGGGCCCAGCCTTGAAGACCTGTTCAACTTCTGTTCTCGCAGGTTTACGATGAAAACAGTCCTCATGCTAGCAGACCAGGTATGTGCACCTCACTGGGGGAGGCTCAGAGCCCTGAGGGATGGTGTGCAATGCTCTTCTTTTTAAGTGGGTTAAATAATGTTTTATTTATATAGAGCTAAGTGAACACTTGACCTATATAGGGGCGAAGAAATGGTGGTTTCTGTCTGCTCTGGCCTACAAAATGGCATAGTGGGAGGGCAGCACAGCTCCTTCCTGCTGCACGACTAACAAGGGCAACATTCTTAGAGTATCTAGCCTGATGTGGGTGGAATCACTGCCAGTATCAGCCGTGAAGGTCTGAGGCAGTTAGGGTTGGTTCCCTGGAAGCTGTTGGGTGTTGGCCAGCTGCAGTGCCACGTGGGCAGTGCAGTCCATGGGGCTGTGCTTGCCTGTCCCTGCGCACTCACACCCTCTGTAACTTCCAGGACCAGGCCATGAGCTAATAAAGCCTGTCTTGCTTGCTTGGTGCTCCAAGACACTTCTTAAAGCTGTTAGTGGAGATGCCACTCCACCTCAGACTTCACCAAGGCCTCTCAAACTGAGCTCTGTTAGGTCTTTTTTCCCAAGCAATTGATACTTTTCCAAGTTGGTCATGAGAACCCAGGGTTTGAAATGGGCCCCCATATTTATTTCTTGCTGCTCAGTAAATAGCTTGATTGTGCTGTTTCAGCTCCTTGAAGAGCAGTGAGGGTTTCTCAAGTTGAATTTTCAATGGTAGTTTAAATTTCATCTAACATTACATAACTGATGTTAGTACCAAGTTGTCACTTAGCCAAGTGCTCGTAGAATCCCAGGCTTTGGGCCAAGGAAGCTCAAGGCATTTGTATGGAGACAAGGTCAGCTGTCCCTGTTCTCAGCTGCCTTCAGATGAGTGGTTTGGAGAGCCATTTGCCTGCTCAGTTAGCTAGTCTGGGTGTTACCAGGGAATCTCTGTGGGTTTCTGCAGTATCCTTTGGATGGTAAACACTAAATAGATGTCACCTGGGAAACATAGATGGGAATGTGTGATATCAGTGTGCAGAATTGGCTGGTAGGGCATAGTCCAGAGCAGCTGTCAGGGGTATGGTGTAACTATTCCGCTCACTCCAGGCTGCAGGAGGAGTGTTCAGGAGCTGGGAAGCTGTGCCACACACACACTGCTGTGATCTCCTACACAGGAAATGGTGTGGCTGTGTGTGATGATGCAGATGTGCCAGAGAGTCTTTGCCTCTCCACTGCTAACTCTTATTCCAGGATCACAGTAGCCTAGATATGACAGGACGGGCCACCATCAAGTTGGTACTTGCTCTGTGAAAACTGTTATCTGGAAAAGTGATGTCTGATGATGAATGAATAACCAGATGAATGAGTAACTGGGACAGGGGGAGGGAGTGAGCTTTAAAATCGTCTTGTAGGGAGAAAACCTTTGAAGTAAGAGAAAGAAATGACTCTTTAATGAGATGCTATACTTAGAACATGAACTCGGATATCTGGGAAGTAGTTCAGGTATTTAATCTCTCAGTTCCTGGCCAAGATTGTGGAATTTCAGCATATGAAATAAACGTATTTGAACAGCATTTTAAAAAGAGTTGGTTTTCCTGAAGCAAATACATAAACTGAAGCTGCAGAGGAAGGTAACACTGAGAATCCATGTTTTCATTAAGGGTTCAACTGAACTGTGTTGCTCTCACTGAAATCTGACCTGTTCTGTTGCTGGTTTGTTTTACAGATGATCAGTAGAATTGAATATGTGCACACAAAGAATTTTATACACAGAGACATTAAACCAGATAACTTCCTAATGGGTATTGGGCGTCACTGTAATAAGGTTAGTCCAAAGCTCTTTGTTTCCAACATCCAGAGGGAATGCCTGGGGGATTTGATTCCAGCTGCACAGATGGTTTGGATGCTAAGCCATGGTTCTTTGCTGTGAGAACTTGGTTTTCCTGTGCCCACTCCTAAATGCAGTGGCTTACACGTGGGTCTCTGACCCACCCTGGGACATGCACTTGATTGCAAGCCTAGAAAGCATCTTGCAACAAGATCATATTAACTAACCCCAGGGAATCCTTGGCTGCTTTGATCAGTGCTGGAGTTTTGTTACCAGGATCACTGTTGTAACAAGCATTTTTTTCCTCAGTGCTAAAGTCAAATGTTCCCTTTGGCTTTGGTACTGATTTCCTGGGATGAAAAGAATCTGTGCCAACGTGGGAGCTCCTGACCTACCAGTCACCAGGGCATTAAACCTTGCAGTGACAGACTGGTAAAGAGAACTCTTCAGCCAGCAGAACTGTGGATGAGACTAACAGCCAACATGTAGACCAGTTGCCTTTATGAACAAAAGAAATGCTGCAAATATGTCGATGCAAAACTTGCAGAACACCTGCATATGTACAAAATTGTTCTCAAT